CAAAATTTGCTATTTCTAATCATTTTTGCCATATTTTTTTGTTACAGACATGAGGTTACATGTCATAATGTCATTTTCTCAAAATATGAAGCAAGTGATGGTGAAAGAGATGACTTTGGTTTTTACCATTGTAGATCCTCATGTGGTTTTGTATTCTCGAGCAAAACAACAAGGAACAGGTGTTGTTAATAATTTATAACATTCACATATAAGTCAGACCACTGAGGTTATTTGTTTAAAGGGGCCCTACAGTCATTTTTTAGTCAAAAAGCCACCTGAAGTAATTGTTTACATTTTTTTGTTATTGTTGCAACTTGACATGCGCAATACAGCATGTATGCGTTTTCCATTGTGCGGAAGTACTCATACTCATGGATACTGCATGTAAGATACAACCAAACGAATCTCTGTGGAGTCCCCTACTTAAGGTGGCTTTTCAACTAAAAAATGACTGTAGGGCCCATTTAAAGTACATTATTATGTACAATATTTTAAAAATTGATAACATATATAATATATTACATAATCTGTGTTATAGGCATGAAACTAATAACCATGGCCAGACCTACACAGATGATCAAGTCCTGAAACCACATCAAATGACTAATCAAGAAGGATGTGAAGATCATACATACAACTACCATAGGTCTAAGCTTACATTTGGGCTTATCTTGTTTGACTATCATGATGCAATTAAAGAAGGTGATGGGGAGAGACTTTTTGAGATCTATAAGGTGTGTTTGTTATTATTCAAGGCTAACAAGAAAAGCAAATATGCATATGCTGTCTTCTTATACCTTGTGAAGATTGTTGCTATCCTATCTAAGAAAGAAGCACACAGCTTAAAATGGAACAGATTTTTTAATAAGCATGGTACGAAAGCAGGAAATATTCCTCTTGATCTTAGAATGGAACAGCTAAACAAGATAGTGAAAACTATGTGGAGATCACTAGAGGCAAATCTCAATGAAACATCAGCTGCCCGACTTGCAAATACAGTTGATGAAATGGAACGAATTTTGAACAGTGTAGACAATGACTGTGGAATTCAATCAGCTGTTGGTTACAGAACACAAGGCAACCAATTTGCTGCTGTACAACAAATAACAAAAGATTTGCTTACAATTGGGGCATTCACATATCAAGAAGGCAGACAAGGACATCCATCGTTTCCTAAATTTCCACATAGTCTACTGGGAAGTTTGAATTTCAAAGATTTACCCTTATGGATGCTGGAACTTATTAAAACCTGGGAACGTCTGTATGATCTAAATAAGACCTAATTCACATCTGTAAATTCTTTAATTATTGTAAATAGTGATATATATGCAAAAAAATTAGAGAATTAGGATTGTAAATGTTGATCAGGAAAATGAAAAAACAGGGGTTTTTTAATTGGCCAAGGTGTCTTTTTAGTAATATTCTGATAAGGTACTTCTGTTGTCTATAACACATGCATAGACTCAATTATATTTTCTACATTTTTGAGTCAAATTCATTTCAGCAAATGTAGATTACAAATGTTTATATTCGGTTTTGTACATAATGCTTTGATTGCGATTTCGATGTGAAAATGAGAGCATCAAAACAGGCTGGTAGTCAGAAGCCATATTGTATAAATAGTATTAAAACAGAAACAGAATTACCCTACTAAAACCACATTTAACAGTTTTAAAGACTGTATTTACTTGATAAGCTTTATTTTGATGCGACTCATTTCCAGGACCTGATTGCAAACAAGGCATTATGCACAGCCTGTATGCATCAGAGACGGATTTTCATATTTTCGTTCAGGGGGGGAAGGATGGGGCATGGATAAATATCTGGGGGGGGGGGTGCTGCTGCTGCTTGCTTTGGCCAGGGCGTGGTAGCAACGCCCTAAAAGGCCAAGGAAAAGGTTTGACAAAATTTGTTTTCTAGGCCTGCATGGTGAGATCTGAGACCATAATATTGGCAATTTCACAAATTTAGTAGTAAGAATAATCAAATACGAAACTATCAAATCAAACTATATGTAATTTGTGGGGGTGCCAAATGCCTTTGGGGGGGGGGTTGCAAATCATTTCTCCCCCCCCCCAGAAAATCCGTGTCTGGTATGCATGTCATTTCAATAAAAAGAAACAATATGGCTCCCAAGGTTACAGGAAGCATGCATTCAGAGAATATATACCTTCATGAACCACTTCTAGATTGTACAGAGTTTTTGAGAAGTTATTAGGTTTGTTTGTCCATCAATTTTATTCCCAATAGCAGCAGGTTCCAAGGGAAAACTTTCCCAAGTGATGTACCAGTATATATATACTGCATATCCACAGAAAATCATAAATGTACATTGTTTCTAGTACATCATCTTAGTCTATGACATCCAAGTCAAACAGTTCTCCATCAACATCAGTATCTGTAAATTCACTGTTTAGCAACTGGTCTAAAGAAAACGGTGGATAGCTATCATCTTCCAATGAATTGTTAGATATCAAGTGCACCTCTTCAATATCATTGAACACTTCACTAAAAATAGAAAGCACTTCCATAGCTTGGTTTCTTGAAAAAATAGGTGAATAAGTTATGACATCTTCCACAGAAAATATCTTGTTACAATTCTCAACAACATCTGTGATGACTTGTTCAGAAAAACCATGACTTGACACTGATCCAAGAGCAATGACTGCATTGTAAGATGAAATATTCATTTGCTGCTCTTTTAAAGCATCATGAAGGATGCATTTATCTTCTTCAGACACAGATCGATACAAATTACAAGAATTTTCAATGTCATCTGGAACAAGATTGAAATGGTATGGACCAGATACTCTTTCACACTTTCCTTCAACTTCATCACAACAACAAGATGCAGCACAGAAACCACAGCAACTATGAGCAGGAAGTAGAGGAACAACATCTTGATCATATATCCTGTAAGCAGCAACACGCATGCAATCATCATTTTTTAAAAACTCCCTCACGTCCTCATCAACATGTGAAATTTGTTGACCATAATAATGTATTAAAATGTCAGATGATAAACCATCACGTCCAGCTCGTCCAGCTTTTTGGTGTAGATCTAAAATATCACGTGGTGGCCCAAACATTACAATGAATCTAATGTCAGGGAAGTTAACTCCCATACTCAATGCTGATGTTGCAATAATAATTCTTTTCGAACCATCACCTTTGAGCGATTTTACAATTCTTTCCTTGTACTTCTCTTGGGTAACAGAATATGCCCAAAAGACAATGTTCTCTTTCTTTAGAAGTTGTTGGATAAAATGCCTGTCTTCCCAGCTTCATCATCAGGTAGTTGGCAACATGTGCAACTGAATACATGGTATCACAAAATATTATAGTTTTGGGAGTAGCAATACCTTCATTCTTTATCTTCTCCACAATCCAATCCAGCTGAGATAGCATTTGTTTTTTTGGAACCTTGATGACACTGAACCGCAAATTGAGACGATTCGGGCTGACAGAAAACTTTGTGGGGTCTTTCAGGGCTAGGTTATGACAAATGACATTCTGGGTTTCTTGATCTGCTGTTCCAGTTAAAGCTAATAATGGAGTACCTGGAATAAAAACATGAATGAAAAAATAAAGGAAGAAAGACAATGTAATTTAACATGACAATGCTTATACAAATAACAAAACTTTATTTTGCTTGTCAATAAACATTAACATTTAAGACTAGGAGTATATTAGATAAATTGTAGAAACAAAAATAATATAAATTGCTTGCCTTTTTTGCACATTGACCTAAGAATTGCAAGCTTTCCATAAGCTTCTCTGAAAGCTTTCCTGTCCTTCGACTTCGATAATTTGCCCTTTATGTCTCTACACAAAAAAGACGAAAAACGTCCCAATGTACCGATATGCGATATGAATACTTAGAAATACAATACCAGATTGGCGTCAATGTCATACTACATAACTAAACTTTTAGAAGAAGCGGTTTCAGAAAACCGGTCTTACCGTTTCCCAGTCCATGTCTCAATTGTATGAGACTCATCCACAACTATTGCTTCCACAGACTTGTGTAATTGTGAGCCATCATCGTTGAGCATATCAAGAAAATCTTTGTCTATACAATTTTCCGCGCTACAATATATAAATTGCGGCGGAGATGTTGTAATTTGATGAAAAGTTTCCTTCGAAAGCTCCATCGCAGAGCAATTGAAGGAAGATACCTCTAACACTTGATCGCATATAATGCTTTTCAGAGGAGAAACCACAAGCACACTGCTTTGAGAAGAGCCTCTAGTCTGTTCGACGAAACTGCTACGTGCCAACAAATACACGATAAAAATTATACTTTTACCGAATCCTGTCGGCAAAACAGCCAAGACATCATTTCCTTTTAATAGTTCCTTTACGGCTGTCTCTTGCTCCGTCTTCAACACCAGCTTAGATGAAGAAGTCCTATACGAATTTAGTATACGAAGCGCATTCTCAATATGAAAGTCAAACTCGACACTGTGCTCCAAAGCAGACGCCATGTTTGTCTAATTAAGTTGATATAATAATAAACTTATTAACAGCCGTTGGGTTTTTAGCCAATAACGTATTTTCAGTCCACCAGTAGACTGGCAAACGAAATCATATAGAAACCCGGCAGACGGTTTTTCCCCCTGCCGCCGAAAGTTATTCCCGCCCTAATTTTCCCCGCCCGCAACCTCCCCTAAAAACCGTCTGCTACGCAGGCTAGGATCTAGAAGACCCATAGGTCCCATACTCGACTAGCAACATAATCAAGTTAGTTATGTTAATTCATTATATATAGGATCAATGTTAAAGGCAAGGTGGGCTATAAGCTATAATCATTTGTATGGCTTATAAAAGGCTAATTGCTGCGAATAAATTGAATAATGAATGTAGCACAATATCAAACAGTTGCATGGTGACGTCAAAGATTAGTCAGACTACATTTGCAAGTTTTGCAACCCTCATCGCTTAAATTCCCCATACCTGAATACAAAATAAACAGCAAACAACGATTACCTTTTACATACCATATATAAAACGGAGTTTTCATCCTTTCTAGAAACTCACTTCCTGAACTTTTGAGCGCAAATGTAATGTATTAAAAATGTATATCATATTCACAGCGGTTAATACCATTAATATATCGCGGGCGCAATACAAAACAAAACACGAGAATTTTAAAATGTTTTGATTTGCAAATAAATAAATAATATTTGATGTCATAAAAATTTTTAAATTTAACTCAACACAAACTGGTAAGTTCGTGACATGTATAATTTACTATATGTTGTTATATTGCAATTCTGTACCCTACTCCTTTGAAAATTGTTTGCAATTGCATATGATGTGAACATGTGGTCATGTATTATAGTTGTGTCATGAATTTAATAATACCCCAATGGCTTCGAAATAGACAAGTCATGAATATTGAGCTTATTTACCCTTTAATTTCTCGACAACCGGTTTCGTATTACATTTCGATACAATTTTTCTAATATAAATATCTCCGCGAGTATTTACCCCCCTTTCAAATAAATGCCACCATTGAAATCCTCATAAAATAACCTTTCGAACGGGGGGGTCAAGTGCCGTCAAAACATTACACAAAGCGAAACAATCATATATTTACTCACCGCTTGGCCAAAGATTCTAAATTTCATATCCACAAGATCTTGAATACCCCTTGAACTTTTCGTCATTAGCTGAACGGCTATACGTGTAAAATACTCTCTGTATTCAAGCGCTTTCGTGTAGAAAGTTTCGTATGTATACGCCGACTAGAAATATTTATTTTGAATTTTTCAAGATATCGGGTTTTACTCGCACTTGCGTACATTGCGCAATAATTGGCCAATAAGAAGCTCCTTTGGCCGGGATGACGTCAAACTCACGCGTGTAGGTGCAATTTGACCTTGCGAACCATTTCTGGCCTTTCCAGGGTCATACGATACAAACGTCGCATTGTTTTGACGGTTTTCAGACGTATTTCCGGTTGGGATTAACTCACTTCGAGCTCACAGTCGGACAAGAAATGGAAATATATTGATAAAAGATACAGATTTGAAGATACAGGCTTGCAAATAACACTCTAAATAGTGTTTTTGATGGGGATTCGAACAAGACTATTACAAAGACGATATGTGCGAAGGGGCCGAAGTTATTTTCAGCGAAAGGTACATGGCTAGTCTATATTTTGTTCAGACAATTGCGTAATTTGATACAATATTATCGTGTTCGACTTTCAAAGGCCCATAAATCGTTACAATGTTAATAATGACTATAACTATCGTTTGGAACTAGTCTATCTTTTATTTCTGAATCGATTGGTGGTATTTCTGTCTTCATAGCATGCACTGAACCGAAAGTATGAAATTTCGAGCCCGTCGATCGCTCGCGATCGACGCAATTGGACCCTGTTGAGAAAGAACACTTGATCGTCATGCGCATACAGTGTATTGTTTGTTTCCAGAACCCCCTCAAGCAGACTTCAACTTTTTTTGTTAAATTGTATATTTTGCTTCATACACTGTATGTGTGTGTATTTGTGGGAACACTCATGTTTGGATGCTTGGCATAGGTTAATGGTAATTTCATTGGAGTCATCAGGGATATAGTTGTATATTCCTGAAATTAACTCTAAACACCTAAAACAGTATTCCCAAAATTTTAATTGTTTTCTTACATTGCCCTATATCGCTCAAACTCGCATTGCTTAAATTGCAGATTTTGCTTAAATCACCTAAAATTGCTTAAACTCGCATTATCTCGTTATCACCCCAGAGTAGGGCCTACTGTTGCCATTGCTTTTTAGTCCCAAATACTTCAGTGAGTCATGCTTTGGAAATGACAATAATTTTTTATTACCCAACCCTTGAGTTGTTTTGTTTTTCATTTACCCAACCTTTTACTTACTCAAAATTTAGTTTACCCAACCCTTTTCTCTTCGTTGCCACCCCCGCCATAAATAATGACCGGTCCCTTATGGGTCTAGAGTTTTCTATTATAGCAATTCGCATGCATCTTTTCAGTTATTGCGTCTGACGATCTCTGGTGATATAAATCCTAATCCTGGCCCATGAGAGCTAGCTGGCAAGAAATATTCATGCACAATTTGTGACAAAACCTTGGCTCGAAATCATAGGACGGTTGAATGCACAAGTTGTTGTTTAAAGTTTCATGTCAAGTGTGGTAAGATATCATTGAAAATTACACAAGACTCAATAACGGTGAAAAATGGGTGTGTACATCTTGCTTATTTAAAGAACTACCAGGTAATGCTTGTTTTATACGTAATGATTGTTTGGAAGCGGGGATTGACGATGACGAAACATGTAGAAGCGAATTTGCAGAAACTGATGTTGCTAGCGTTCAAGAAAGCGCGAAAAAGTACATTAAAAATTGTAAAATTGGTCATATAAATGCGAACAGTATTGCTGGTTTTAAACTTTATGAGATTAAACAGTGGCTGACACAAGGCTTATTTAATATACTTGTAATTACTGAAACTAAGGTGGATAAAACCTTTCCAAAAAGTCATTTTCATGTTGACGGTTTTCGCTTTTGTAGACGTGATAGAAATATCCATGGTGGGGGTATTATCAGAGAGGAAGTATATCTTTACTCTTTGGTATTATGATGTACATTAGATCGGATATAATATACGAACATATTACACAACGGACAGTTCAGCACACCCGAGTTGAGTTTCTGGTATGTAAAGTAAAAATCGGTAAAGAATGGATTATGATAATTGGTGTTTATAAATCACCGTCATTAAAGCAAACCCAATGGAAATTAGAGCTTGAAAATATTTTTAAAATGGCTACAACCATAACAAACAATGCTATAATATTGGGGGATTTAATTGCGATTTACTAGCTACAACCGGATAAGTCATCAAAAGATGGACGACGTATGCTCCTTGATTTAATGGATATTTTCCATCTAGTAAACTTAATAAAAAACCCAACACGTGTCACTAGTACTTCTGGGACTTTAATTGATTTAATCCTGACTAACAATAAGAAAAAAATCTTGACATCAGGCGTGTTTGATGTACAATTTAGTGACCATGTACTCGTTTATACCATATTGAGCTTGACAACTCCAAGGTTAAATTCACGGAAAGTATATACTAGAAGCTATAAAAACTTTGACAAGTATATGCTTTTCAGCGCGATCTACAGAATGCTCCGTTTCACATAATGGATATTTTTTATGAAGTTGATGATAAAGTTTATGTGTTGGACACTTTATATTCTGATATTGTTAACGAGCATGCTCATATATAAAGCAATTCCATTTAAGAGGAAATCAAGTGCCATTTATGAGCGAAAAAATGGAGAAAAGCCATTCGCTATAGAAACATGCTTTGGAAAAAATTAATGCATGATCGCACTGATGAGCATTATGCGATATACAAAAAACAAAGAAATATATGTACTTCTTTGAGGCGTAAAGCAATAAAGGCATATTTTCACTGTAAGGTAGAAACATCGAAAAACCCTGGCGATTTTTGGAATATTTGTCGGCCTTTCCTTCATTCTAAAAAATCAAAGCAAGCAAGTGATATTGTATTACAAGAAGATGACCATTTGGTTAAAGACAAAAGAACTATTATAATAGCACAATTATTTAATAGCTATTTCATTCATGCTGCAGATTCAGCGCCTGAAATTAATGAGAGAGTTTTCGGAGCGGATTTCAGTTTTCACCCAAGCATTCAGACTATATTGCAAAATAAAAATCAAGATGAATCATCTGAATTTAGTTTTCGTTGTGTATAGACAAGGATCAAGTAGAGAAACTTATGTTGAGTATTAAAACGCAAAAATCATGCGGACGCGACCAAATATCACCACGTCTACTAAAAGACTAATATCTAAAATAATAAATAGCTCAATTACCCGAGGCCAATATCCCTCTTGTTGGAAAGTGGGCCAAGTGACGCCTTTATTCAAGAAATAAAACAAGTTTAACAAAAATAACTATAGACCAGTAACTATTTTGCCCTCCTTTAACAATGTTTTCGAGAGAATGCTTGCTAATCAATTTGAAGACTTTTATGAGAATACATTGTCGGATCATATTTCTGCGTATAGGAAGAACTATATAGTTGTGAAACATCCTTATTGAAGCTAACTGAAGACTGGCGCCAATCTCTAGACAACAAAGAAATTGT